GAAGCAGGAACGAACTATATAGGCCTACATAGCCTATCCTATATTGGATATTAACATCCAATAGTGTAAATCGCGGCAGCAGCTTCAGGTTGGTAGTGCAAGGCATTGTTGTCTATCTGTACTTCCGGGGTTCTTCCCACCGGAGCCTCGCTTTCGATTACAAAATGGCGGCTGCGTGAAATCAGCGTAAAGGCCATTGCACACTGAGTCCGAAATTTTCGTATGCGTTTTTTCGTATTCGAGATTCGGTGGCTCTGAATTGTCAAAACATCATTCAAACACCATTCAAACTGATTGCTACGGATGCGAAAAACGCAGAAAATCGAACCCGATTCGATTTTTTTTTATGACGGACGAAAGTTTCGGAGGCAGTGTGCAAGCGTGATTGACATAACGTGAGGTCGTATTTATTTTTTAACGTGCGAAAATTTCGGATGCGAATTTCGGAGTCAGTGTGCAATGGCCTTAAGTGATTTACTGTTTCAATGTGGAACCATGTACATAGCCTACATAAATCGTGTAATTTCAACGCATTTTTGTCAGTGAACTGAAAGAGTGCAATGTGTGTATATGCATTTAATGGAATTTCATTTGCATTGATAAGTAGGATAATCGTGTAATTTCAACGCATTTTTGTCAGTGAACTGAAAGAGTGCAATGTGCGTATATGCATTTAATGGAATTTCATTTGCATTGATAAGTAGGATGACTAATGCTGGTGCCAATATGCTTAGAAACTAAGTTTGACATGAATTAGCATGGGTAATAAGGTTTGCTGTTGAAATGTAATTGACCTATAGGCTATTGTTGTTTTTGCAGAACAAGCATGATCACTGTTGCAGTGGGAGCTGGTTGCAAACACTCGTGCTACATTGCATTCTGACATTCAGTCGCCATGGCGATACTTTTGTTTCCTGCAGAACCTGAGATCCACTTGAGTCTCAGCCATTGAAGTTGAGTGGCAGAGCAATTAAAAATGAATTAAATGCAATAGACATGCATTACTACAATAATAATGAAACTGATGGCTTTGTGTCTTTTCAGGACGCATGTCTTTTTGGGAAGGCTATTCAGTCTGCCAACAGCTGAATTTGTCAGTGCTTTTATTTACTTCTCAGACAACAATGAATGTGCTGCAACAAGTTTATTTGATTAACTGTATAGTATACAAGCTGATTATTATGATTATGACATTGATGTTGTGGCTCAGTATGATGTCCAGTAATGGTTCTGTTTTTTCTTATTTTGTGAATCATCTAGTGCTTTTTGTGCACCATCATGAAAAAGACCCACATTGGAATTGATCTTATTTGTCCTGGTAATGTATACATGTCAAACCGCTCATTTAATCTAATCTCATCAATCTCATCGGGGAAATAAAGTATGTAGCCCACATTGACCTAACAGAGTATGACCATCTAAAAGAGTCTGGGAATCTCCATATAGGCAGCTGTTGAATAGCAGACACATCTTTTAATAATGAACTCTCCTCTGATCACACGGAGAAGAGCCTAAATAATTCACGATGTCTCCGCATTATGTCCCCTGCTGTCTCTAGCTTTGCCTGGATTCCTCCTGTACCGCTGCATCGACATTATGAAGCATTCAGTGTAAAATCCCCACCGGTGAGTTTTTGCTCCTTTTCTGCCAAGGAAAAATGTTTTGGATTTGAAACTGGACACCTGTATTTCTGTTTCACAGAGCAAGAGAACTCTAGAGCTATTTGTTTTACCAGAGTAGGCAGAGTAGTTGCAGGCTTTACTTTGGCACGGTTGGAGAAAATTGTATTGGCTATGTCTGTTTTAAGAGCAATTCATTTATGGCTCAGATCAGTATAGCACTTTCAGCTCTCCCTTGACAAACCACAGAAGAACCTCATCAATATTATATATGGAAAGGTTACAGGTTGCACAAGTTAAATAACTTATTGGATCCAAATTAGATCATGCATACTCCAGATATTTTGGATTAAGAGAAACAGCAAGAGTCAAATTTAAATCTGGGGATTATTTTATAGGTATGCTAATGTTAAATCTGTATTTTAAGTGCATCATCCAGATTGTATACTATTTAGGCTAAGGGAACAGTACTTTATTAGAAGCATCATTACATATTGTCATGGTAGCTGTACAACAATGGAACTGATCAAGGTGCTGAAAAAAATGGCCAGGATAAACAAATTTTAATTACAATTTACAAGGCATTAAATTCAGCTTAAATTATGCTTAACTTGCATTTTAAAAATGCTTTTACAAGCATTTGAGGCTTTTACAAGCTTTAAGAAATTCAAAGATTTAGGTTTCAAAATGTTTCAGGAGTTGTATTTGAGCTGACATAATAGCTGACATCCATCACTATCAACATTTGCATATTGAGTTAGCCTACATTTGGTCTCATTTCTTGCCTTTATTTGCATATTGCATTATCATTGATCATTTCTTTCTAACAGAGGCCTATGTTTAATAATCTTTAGCTGCGTTAATAGTGCTTTATGTATGCTGAATCTACTGTAGTTTGATTTTTTTTTTCCCCCACAGAGGTTAAGTGTCATTCACAAACCCAGTAAAATGCCCAGTAAAATTTAATCGCTCGATTAAAAAGCAACAGCTTTTTGTTTTTTTTTAGGGCAGCTAGGCCTATATCAGCTCCAATAAGGTAAACTCAAATGCCATTCATCGAAAATGAAGTGCTTTAGGCTACTATCTGTTCAATGTGACGAATTTTCACTTCCGAGTGACAGACGGTTTCTTACAGAACGTTTTTGTAAACATGCGTTATACGGTCATCTTTGACCGTTGCGCCGGGTCTCGTTTCTTTTTCAGTAGCCTATCTCCCGCATAAGTGGCACATTAAAAGTGGTTCAACTTTTAAAAATGTTCTTTTCCATTCCATTCCAATGCGCTGCGTCTCACTTTTTTTTCCGAATCCAAAAACGTTCTGTGTAAATAATGGAATAATGGCGTCATCTCCTTCAGATCTCTTACGGCATTGACGTCAGTATTGTTTCTGCAATAGGGAATATTTTGCTGGAGCTTTGTGTAATTGTGACTGATGTCTGACTTCTCTCCTTATATATAATGACATTCATCTCACCTCTTCCTCATATTTCCTATTCTTTGCTCTGGAGTCTGATGACATCAGTTCTTTTGTCAGGACTAAATGTAATCACAGATCCCTTTTTAAGACTTCATAATTCATTTGCACAGAGAAGATGAGAGCCAGCCTTTATCTTTTATATTTGTCTGTAATCTGTGAAGAGTATTAACATATTGGCTATGTATTGTTTCAAATATTGTTGTTTATATTTGTGTTGATTGGGTAGGTCATATGTCTTTTATGACCTGGCATTCATTCTATTTTATATTCAATTTCCAGTTATTCACTCAATTCCGCCAGGTGAAATAGAAACAAGTGAATCGGTTACTACTCAGACCACAATATAATTATAATGTCTATAATATTGCACTATTACGGAGACACCTGAGAGTGTTTGACGTCTGGTCTCTCATTCTCTCTCTATCAAACTCCAAAGATAATGTGGATATAACTTCCCTCCGTATATCTGACATCATCTGGTAAATCACTGTCAACTGTGCGTCAGTTGGTGTGTGTTTTGATAACAGCTGAGATATTGTCAGGTTGTATGAACAGAGCCTGCAGTGGGACTGGTGATTAGCAACAGGCAGATCCAGCAGATCTTGGGTCTGTGATGGCAACCGCAGCTTGTCTCAGTGAGCGGCAGGCCTGCATTAGATTGAAAGAAACAAGATAGCACTGAGTGGTGATGCTATCTGTGCAGGGAAAAACAAAAGAAGGCCTTGAGGTACATGGTGGATCGAAGCAGATGGTGTGACTAACATCAAAGACGACGGTTCATAAATGGGCTTCATGCAGATAGACAACAGAAAGTAGTGTGGTAAAAAGATGACAGCAAATGGAAATGTTAGGAAAAACTAGTTTTCAAGCCTGGAAATGTTATGGGAAAATGCATTCAAAAGTCATTACAATTTCGAAAGTAAGTTATATTTTTACATTGTTATGCTAATCTCTAAAATATGTAAGGATTTCCAAATCAGTGAGATATTTAATACTCATCTTAAATATTGTTTAACACTCAATTTTCTGACACGTTTTATTAAGACTGTTGGGAATTTATTATATTAATCATTATATATTATTATATATTTCTAGTTAGTAGTAATATATTACATACCGTATTCTATTTCTTTAGCACACACACACACACACACACACACACACACACACACACACACACACACACACACACACACACACACACACACACACACACACACACACACACACACACACACACACACACACACATACAATATATATATATTGCAGTAAGTATAAGTATATTATTTAATTTAGGAAAAATATATCTGCTATTAGGAAAGAATCACCATATTAGCAGGCAACATTTTTAAAAATTGTTTGCACTTTTTTCATGCTTGTCTGTTCCAATAACAGAGAATTGTCAATGTTATATCAATGTTTATATCCTAAAGCACCAACTTTGGTCTATTTACAGACTTCTGCACTGTTTCTCCAGGCTGAAATATGACATTCTGCTCACATTGTTCTCTCTATTAGTATATCAATGTCCACTGGATATCTGATGCTCTCCATATGCTAATCTGCAAGTTTAATGAGACGTGCCACCATAGCAACATTTCACCTAAATGAATGAAGGGACACTTTCTATTGTTCGGCTATTGGAATATATTTCTCTGCGGTATTAAACCCAACATGATGTCACTGTGTTTTCTTAGTTTCATTATCTTTGGATGATATGTAATTTGCTTTCCTTTTTTCTGTAGGAAGTCATTGCTGATTCAATATAGAGCATGTTGATTGATCAGCTCATGGATCCTCTCTGAGACTGTGCGAGAGAGAGAGAGAGAGAGAGAGAGAGAGAGCGAGAGAGACAGAGAGAGAGAGAGAGAGAGAGAGCGAGAGAGACAGAGAGAGAGAGAGAGAGAGAGAGAGAGAGACAGGAGCAAAGAATAAAGCAGGAGACAGTCATACAAGACAAGTTTAGAGGAAACACCTGGAACGATAGATTGGGGAGGTGACACTATCACGTAAGAGAGGACAAACCTTACCCTTCTTTCATCCGAGTCTTCCTGTTGTGGAGGATGAGTGCTGTCTTTGCTAAACTGGACCCCAGGAGAATTGAGTGGGAGTCGTCCTGGTATGGACTCCACTCACGAATCCTGCGCACTAAACCTGTGGACTCCATGCTGGAGGGCCCAGATGACCTGCATGGCACCAGACTTGCCCGTGTGCTCACTACAGTGGATCTGGTGTCACTTGGGGTGGGCAGCTGCGTGGGCACTGGCATGTATGTGGTTGCCGGGCTTGTTGCTAAGGAAATGGCAGGACCTGGAGTGATCTTGTCCTTCATCATTGCAGCTGTGGCGTCCATTCTGTCAGGTGAGACTTTATGACTGTTAACAATTTATAAACATTTAGCAATTTAGGGCGTTAAAAAATCACTGCTGGTGCTCTAATATAAATATGCCTCTCATCTTTCCAGTTTAAAATATTACAGTGAACCAAACTGTTACTGTTACAGTGAACCAAAGGGCAAAGTTCAACTTTTTTTTGATAATTATTGATCTAGAGAGTCCATAGAATTGTCCTAGACTGGTCTGGTTCCGATCAGGGAAAAAACCAGGGACTAGTTTGCAAAAGTAGGTTATGGACAAAATTGGCCATAACAAATTTTTGCTCAAATCGAGAATCCGAGATATACATCTTGTCCGTCTTGAGCCAAGGAACACAGTGGTGTGCAAATCTTGATTCTAGGTCAAACGGTCGATGAGTTATGAGCAATTTAGTACTTTTGGTTGCTGTAGCGCCACCTATGGGCCAATCAGGGTCATACTCTGATAGGTTCTCCCCAAACTGAGGCCCTAGCACCTGGCCAGGTTTCAAGTCTCTAGGCCAGGGGTCTCAAACTCGCGGCCCGCGGGCCATTTGCGGCCCGCGGGGTGATATTTTGTGGCCCCCTACTTGACATTAAAGTGTAATGTTAGTGCGGCCCGTCGTTGCGTGTGCCGCGTTTTAAATGGGCTACCATACGGTGGGTTTGTTGTCAATAGTTGCCATAGACAACCGCTAAGTACAAACATACTGCGCGCCTGGAAAAAATGAGCGCGTCGCTTCAATTATGAGCGCGCTTGCCGCGCACGCGCACCTACATTTGAAATAACGAACTTGAGCTCGCAAAATATGTGAGCGCGATATGTGAACTGCTTGTCGAGCTACCACCAATCAGGCCGCGAGCTACTGGTAGCTCGCGAGCGACGTGTTGGAGAGAGACCCTGCTTTAAAACAATGTGAGAATAATCATTTTGAGCTTGTAATATGTGTCTAACAGGTTGATAAGAAGGTTTGCTTTGATTTGTGCAGTCAGTAATTTGCCTGAGACACTATACATGTGTAGAAAGAATTCAATAAGACGGGCAGACATGACTGCAAATATTTGTATTTCAAAAGCAATAATTGTTTTTCTAAGTATATAATAAAAGGAAATGTGCCTTCCAAAAAAAACATTCAATATCATTAATGTGTTGTATAAAGAAAATAAAAAGGACATAAGCAAATATAAATATTACAAATATGTGTTATAGACAAAGAAAGTTTGTAAAATGAACTTCAACTGTCAGAAGGACAGCTCATGAAGAACCAATCATGTACAGAAAGGAATGTTCAAATTCAGAGGAACAGTTCAGAAGAAACGTTAATAATAAAGATTGAGAAGATTGGATCAGTTGTGCTCCTTTTTCGGAATATTTGAATACTATTTTTGTGGAATACTTGATGCGGCCCAGCCTGACCCAGACTCTACCTCCAGCGGCCCCCAGTTAAGTTGAGTTTGAGACCCCTGAGGCCTTACGGTTTGGGCTGCACGATGCGTTTTAGGTTTTTTTTTTTTTTCAAATAGCAATTACAATAGGTTTTCAGCACTTCGTGCTTGAACACCTAATAATAATTAAGAACCAACTTGAGTAAACCAGACCCATCAAGACCAAGTTCTAGACCAGATCCTAACCCCAAGACTGAGACTTGTCAGTACAAGAACCAGTAATGGAGTAAAATAAAATAAAATAAAATGCTGAATTTATTATAGAATTTATTTCAAACACCAAACAATCAAGTTTTCTCTTTGTTTACAATTTTCAAATAAATAAATACAAATTAATACATTTTAATAAATAAAAAAATCCACACAATAAAAGCATTACATAAATGTATTATTATATAAATATGCTTTCAATATAAATTTACAATAAAATATAAAAGTGAATTTAATAATAATAATAACTAATAATTTCTACATACATTATAAAAATAAATAATTTTACATTTCCAATAAAACTGTCAGGGTTTAGGTAGGTGAAAGGAGCGAGGACTCAAGTGCAGGACAATGGGTAGGCCTATTTATTGAGTATAAAAATGAATGACTTGACTTGACTTGACAGGAGAGCACATGCCACAAGGAAACACATGACAATCTATGTGCTCACACCGTGACAAACACATGAGCACATGGCCAGCGAACTCAAATCACCAGCCATGTGCCCCAACAAAACAAAACATGAACAAGCAGCTCATAAGGCACGTGTTCACACAAAACATGACAACATGAAACCACGCAGCCAGTGATAAACACAAGCTGCATGCAACACAGCACAAGACAAAACATGACATGAAAGCACATGAGACAAGGCACACAGACAAGACAAAACAGGAGTGTCAGGGCTCTGTCACAAAACCAAGAAATAGACTAGACAGAAGGGACAGAACTTTCACTATATATTATGTTTTCATAATAATCAGATAATGAAAACACATAAGCTGAGATCCAAATTCCGGCCAAAGCCACGTCCAAATAAACCTCAAAATTTCAAATATCATTACTTTAAGTATATTGCTCTATAATGTACTTGCTAAACAGCTAATCTCAGGGCTTTTCACACAGGGGTCTGCTATGCTGAGTTTGGAGTGAGAGTGCCCAAGACAACAGGCTCTGCTTACACGTACAGTTATGTCACAGTGGGAGAATTTGTGGCCTTTTTCATTGGTTGGAATCTCATCTTGGAGTATCTGATTGGTACAGCTGCGGGGGCCAGTGCACTGAGCAGCATGTTTGACTCTTTAGCCAATCACACCATCAGCCGCTACATGATCAACCATATTGGAACGTTGAATGGCCTGGGTGAGTGTCTAATGATGCTACACAAATTGTTTGTGTGGTTTATGGGGTCTTTATGCATTCTTAATGTTGATGTTCATCACACAGTTCATTTATTCATCCATGCATCTCATATCAGGTAAAGGAGAAGAATCTTATCCAGACCTGTTGGCTCTGGTGATCGCTATGTTGGTGACGGTGATTGTGGGTTTAGGGGTAAAAAACTCTGTGAGCCTCAATAATGTGCTGAATGTTATTAACTTGATCGTGTGGGTCTTCATGGTGATTGCCGGACTGTTTTTCCTTTCTGGAGCCAACTGGGAGGATGGGAGGTTTCTTCCCTATGGCTGGTCAGGGGTAAGAATGTTAACTGTTGGGGAAAAAATGCATTATCTATTTGTCTTTATGCCTACTATAGAGATCCGTAAATATTGTGCGCTCTGTAGGTCATGCAAGGAGCTGCAACCTGTTTCTACGCCTTCATTGGCTTTGATATTATCGCCACCACTGGAGAAGAAGCCAAGAGCCCAGACACTTCCATTCCATATGCCATAACGGCCTCTCTCGTCACCTGTCTCACGGCGTACGTCTCTGTGAGTACAGCGACTCCTCACACACTCCAGTACTAAACTGCACGTGAACTTAGGATAATAATTCATTATGTTTAACACAATAATTTTTAACAAGTTTACCAAATATGGTATAGTTATTCTATAGTTAAATCTGCTTTCTAGTTTTTAATAGTTAAAAATAGAAAACAAAATTGCATATAATTTGTCTTTCTATGGAGTTTCTTCTCATTACTCATTATTGTCACAATTATGTTGTTGGCTGGGGCTTGTCAGGCAGTATTCTCTATAACAATTCATTTTTTCATAATTGCATCAATTCATACTGTAAGTGCGCTGCAGATAGATAGATAGATAGATAGATAGATATTTGCTATGTGGAATTTTTAAAGGACAGACACTACATGCGAGTATTTCAGCTTACATTGCACATTCACACAATTCAATTCAAGCACTTTAGAGCTGAGATTTATTTAAGTTCTCTATCTCCAGAGGCCCAATCCTGATCCCTAGAGCTGAATACCTCTGCGCATACCTTTTACCCTCATGAGACAGATTAAATGAGTCACATGTGTTTTCTTAGTGTACAATGGAATTGGAGGAATCATCCTACAGCCTCCATCCACAGCCACACCTATAAATGAGATCTGGAATGAGAGTGTTTCCCAGAGGACATTTCATGCAATGTATTGCAAATTGTTTTGACAAACTGCCAAATAATACAAATTTTACCTGTTTATATGTCTTAGGTGAGTGTGATTCTGACATTGTTGGTGCCATTTAACCTGATTGATGGAGATGCTCCGCTCATGGAAATGTTTGCCGATCATGGCTTCCTGGCAGGGAAGTATATCGTAGCCATGGGTGCTGTTGCAGGACTCACCGTCAGCCTGCTGGGATCTCTGTTCCCGATGCCCAGAGTCATCTATGCCATGGCGGGAGATGGTCTGCTCTTCAGGTACATTAATTAGTTTGGAACGGTTACAAGGGAAGTCAGTTCACTCAGCAGCCATATTTTTGCAATGTCTCCAGGCAGCTACTTCAGGCATGCAAGGCCAACTTCTATCTATTTGAAAGGGAAAGTACAGAAAAACGAACATTTAAATAACATTTAAATCAAATCAGCAACAAAATCTGACAAGAACTGTCCCAACATTTTTCTTATGCTCCCAATAACAATAAAAACGTGTATATTTCATGTTGGCTCAGCCAATGTGCATGTGCAGTCCTGAGACTGCGAACTCGGGTTTCTAAATGGAGCTTCTAACAGCAGCTTCAGTGATGAAATGACTTTACCAATAGAGTGCGAGAGTCGGGTTCCAGAAATAAAAACTCCAATTATTTTCTCCATAATGAAATCATTTTTAATGATAACTCATAAACCTTTTAAAGACTGGCCTGATGTGAGTTCCGAGGTTGTTAATCAACGGTATATGCTTTTGTTGAATCTATCTGTCATGTCAAAAAATGTTTCTGCTAGGTGCCACTAGTGTCACAGAAACTACATACTTTTTTCTTCAAATAAATGTGTGTAATGTTGTGATTCACCTCATAGCTGGTTGGCTTGGTTAATGGCTTATCGTGCTTTTATAAGACTTTTTAAAAGTCCCAGACAGCAACATAGTGTCGGCCCAGATCCAGCCAACATCTGGTTCGCGTGGAATCCACATGTACCAGATGTGGCCCTGATCTGGGCCAACACTATGTTGCTGTCTGGGTGTGAATGGAAAATATTATTCTGGAACCAACACTGCTTAAAAAGTGGGCAGGTACTAATGCACTCTAGTGACAATTGCCTGTTGTATTTAGAAGGCGGGACTTCTATTACTAGAGCCGCCATTTTGCGTGTTACAATTTCCCTATTCATATCAATAGGAGTGCACTATCTTGGGTAATATAAAGTCTTTTATATGTGTACAGCCCTTTTCATCAGGCATTTCATCCTAAGTTTTCTTGTGTGTATGCCAGGTTCCTGTCCTTTGTGAGTCCCCACACAGAGACCCCCGTGGTGGCCTGTGCTGTATCGGGGTCTCTGGCTGCTCTTTTGGCTCTCCTGGTGAGTCTGAGAGACCTGATCGAGATGATGTCCATCGGCACGCTGCTGGCCTACACGCTGGTGTCGGTGTGTGTGCTGCTTCTGCGATATCAGCCCGATAAAGACAGCTTCACCAGTTTCCTCACAGAACAGGAAGAGGAGGAACGGAAGAGAAAAGAGGAATTAATGGCGGCTAGTGAGAAGGACATGAACTCACCTTGTGGAGAAGGGTATGCCGACAACCCCTGTGGGGCCAAGAACCTTCCCTCCAAAGGAGACGACGAAACACTGATTGAAAAGTCGGATTCTGGGGGGTACCAGTCGGATAGTTCTGGCTTCGGCGTTGGAGAGAATGGCATCGAGGCGGACGACTCCGGTAGTCTCTTGAAACGCGTATTGGGGTCTCAGTATTACACTATGCGGATGCGTTTGGGCCTGCCGAATGTGGGCGATAGGCCCACTCCTGCAACAGGACGTACTGTTACTTCCTGCGTTCTCCTTTTCTTCATCCTGACCTTCTTTCTATGGATGCTCGTCATCTACGGCTTCGACCGGGTTTCAGGAGGAGCCCGCTGGGCAATATTGCCTTTCATTATTACTATAATTATCCTCATGGTTACATTGGTTGTTATTATTCTTCGACAACCTGAGAACCCTAAAAAGCTGCCTTACATGGCGCCCTGTGTGCCCTTTGTGCCCACAGCTGCCATGCTGGTGAACATATACCTCATGCTCAAACTATCCACCATCACCTGGGTGCGCTTTGTGGTGTGGTGCTCACTAGGTAGGCCAAGTCTTCTCTTTATATATGCTCCATATATTCTCAATCATCTGCAAAGGGCCGTTCAAACCAAGAACGATGATAACTGTAACGATAACTGTATTAGCATCCACACACCAACGTATGATAATATTCTGTTTATTATAAGCACATGCTGAAGATTTCTCATCTGCTGCTTTAAATGCTTGAGCTCTTTAAAGTCGAATGGATTCTGATTGGCTGTCAATGTTTTAATTGCTCATCATCTGGAAAAAATCTAATGTTGTGGACTTCCCTATTCTCATATTATCAAAACAATTATTAAAATGTATTATTCTAGTTATGATGTGAACGGGCCTTACCTGACCCCATCTCTTCACCCTACAGGTGTGCTGATCTATTTTAGCTATGGGATGTGGAACAGCTCACTGGAACTCAGCGCTAGAGAGGAAGCGGCTCACGCCAGCTCCTACCAGAGGTACGACACGGAGGTCGACGACAGCTTCAATGTTGATGAAGACCTCCCTCCTCAGGAGGACGAAGAGGGGGGACAGTACCAGGGCTGGGCAGCCGAGGAGCGTGGCTATCAGTACCAGCAGCAGGAAGATGAACAGAGACCATCCAACAACAGTCATAATTACAGAAGTAAAGGCAGGACCAATAAAGGCTTTGAGGAGCTGGTCAATGAAGAGTATTCACCGGAGTGAGCAATATAGACTAAACCGTTGTCGCAGTTGAGGTTGGATTTGGGTGACCATGATTTTTCCAAATGGAATATGTTCCTGGATCATTGAAATTACTGACAAAAATGCGAAAAGTGTTTATAAATAAATAATAAATAAACATTATTACCGCAACCGTAACGAAGCCGAAGGGAAAATGTGCATGAGCATTAATGAAACAATTTTAATCAAAACACACTGTTGACAAAATATGACAAGAAAAGTAACGCCACTGGAAGGATTTTTAAAGAATAAAAAATATATCCTATACATAGAATAATGTAGGATATATGAGAATAATTTAAATATAGAGTATAAAATTAATATTACAAACTGTACAAATTGCGAATTCAAAAGTGAACCTTAAATAAATACTGTGCTAGTCAGAATGTAGGTGTCGTTGTCTTTCCGTATTGGTTTTCAATTAAAGGGGTCCTATTATGCCCTTGTACGAAGTCTTGATTTTAGGGTGTACTAGAATATGCTTTCATGCTTGATTGTTCAAAAACACATTATTTTTCACTTATTTTACATTATTACATCTCTCCCCAGTCTGTCCCGAACACGTTGTTTAGTTCTGGTTTCAATGAAGCCCCTCCTTCTGAAATTTCGAAATGTGCTGTGATTGGTCAGCTGGCCCAGTGTGTTGTGATTAATTAGCAGCGTTGTAGTTCTTAGAAAGTGGATTCTGTTAAATAAAATATCTCCCCTTGGAGTGGACTTTTGAGGTTTGTAACCTTGCAGATCTTTTTTATGCTCAAACAGAAACATTACACACTAACTAAATTTGAAAAAGTGAAAAAGCATAATCAGACCCCTTTAAATTAAAATTAATATCACAGACAGCAACATAGTGTTGGCCCAAATCCGGGCCACATCTGGTACGTGTGGATTCCAGTCTGGGTTGTTTGTTGATTGGATGGAGGCAGAAAGGGGCGGAGTTTAAGCGGACTAGATAAGATCACTAACATTCATTTACAAAACAAATTTGAATTTCCATTTCATGCCAACTTTAAGTTTATAAGTCTGAGATGACAAAAATAAATAAATAAAATATTTTAGTCAAAATACAAAAACTATTGTTAAACAAAAAAAAAACCTGAAGTAAAACAAACACTTTTAATTAAGAACTCATGAAACTGGCTGTGTAGTTAATGGTTAGGGTTAGTTGTAGTCCCAACAAAAATGTTAATCCCGGAACACATTCTACTTTAAAAAATCAGTCACTGATGGATTTCCTAGGTTTGATAGTGTTGTTAACCATGTCTCACTACTAGTTATTAAAACATTTTTGAGTGTATTTCATTGTGAAAAAAATCTTAAACAGGTTGTTAAATGCATTTGCACCTTGTGATGGATAAGTGACTTATCTAGAGGGCCGTTTTTTATTGAGGCTTCTTAAGTGCCTTTAGATAATCCCTTCTTAATGTTATTCTTCTAAAATCAAATATAATGTCTTTCTGATGTGAGCTTCTGTTTCAGTGTTGGATTTAAAATCGCACAGTACTCTTTTACTCTGAGATGTTACTTAGATCCTAAACCAATGCCCTCCATATAAAAAACTCAAGATGCCTCTTTAATGTAAAAGCCAATGCAAGCTGTTACTACATGAGCAGAAACCCCCTAAAGATGCATTGAGTGGACCTTGCATCATCTTCACAGCTGTGTTGGATCTAAAAATCTCAAGCGCTCCCTTGAATTCAAGGGGAAATATTATGATTGGCTCCCTGTGAAAGCTTAATAGTTCTCAAAATATTTTGCAACATCGATATCAAATTCTTTCTATGTTGGTTTGTAGAAATGTCTTACTCTTGTGGTTTCACCCTTGTTTAGGTTTGCACGAGGATATTTACATTTCTTCCCTACAGCTATGTGCGTAAAATCAGTCTGATTCAGAACACATGTAAATACACAGAGATCAAGGGTTATATGTTTGAGAAGAATTATACAACTATATTTAAAGTGAAATATTAAAATTAATATATTTTACAAGCACAAATGCTGTCTTTTTTGTGTCGTCATCATCAGCCAAAACAATAATGATTTGCATTTTAAAAAGAATATCTGTGGGTTCATGTTTTCATTCAGACACGTTAAATCATGAGACCGCATGACGATTTTGAACATATCACTCAACATGCATAACATAGTGGACATTATATGAAGTGAACTCCCAAAGAGCGCATAAAATAATACATCACAATAAATCAATCACAGACCAGCCTGAAAAATGACCCGGATTCCTGTTACAGATATATATTTTTTTCCTCAAATTTCAAATGCTGATTTCCTAGGAGGTTGTGTACAGGATGCTATGAGACGCTCTCCAGGAAAACAGTGCAGATGACATCTGGTCATTTTACCACACAGGTTTCCTGTCTGTCTGTATATGCTTTCCTAACTGTCGGCATGAACGAATAAGCTTATTAAGCTTAAGTTATTAAGTAAAGAACGTTTTAAAATGATGTCACTGAAAAATAAAATATAGGAGCAAAATGAATACTGTGTGAATAGTCTATGAAAAAACATGCCTAAGGAACTGGAAGAGAGAAATGTTTCCCTTTGGATTCATTTCAACGTCTGTTCAAACAAAGTCAAACGTCTGCGAGCACAAGTTTCCACCGAATTCTCTGTTCCCTCCAAATCACATGTTTGCAGTCAAACCATGGCAGTAGAAAACAAATTCTTCACATATTTCATTGGTGTGTGTGAGCTTTTTTGAGGTAAACTCGTCTTATCCAGTCTTTATCTCCGCTCTCACACATGTGCGCTCTTGGCATGACTGTTTATAGGAGGCCCAGAGTTAGCAACTCCACCGTGTTTTGAGTAGTAGTAGTGGTTTTCAGGATTCTGAGTTGGGCCCCTTGAGCAACAAATCATCATCGAGCTGCCAAAAAAACAGAGGGCTGAACCGACCCATCCAGCATACAGGGAGAATCCAAACGACATCAGGCCGTCCTCATGAAGCACTCCAATAGGGAACCACACTGTCGACACCATCCCACACAGAGCTGAAACAAAAGGAAGGGCACTATAATGTTCTACATAATGACAGCACCATAATCATGGAGAATAACAGACTGACTTACAAGCATCATATTAGGAGTTTTATTAGTGTTTGCAGAGTTGCAAACCAGCTCAAAACACCTGTAAAAAGAGTTGACCATGACTGGCTCTTCCCGCTCTAACAGGATGTAGGAAATCTGGATGTTTTATAGTTACTTCAGTCAAGGTTCAGCCCTGTATGTTGAAAGCATGATTTCAGGGAGGATATGAGCAAACACAGGACAACATCTAGCATTTTGCTTAGAACAGCTGAATTTTCAACAGTGTAATAAATTCCTGTCATTTCGATTCTGGAGTAATACTCTAGGGGGTTATTTACAGGAAACTGTCTCATTTGAATGACTGTACAAGGCATGGTACACAATTTTTATCGGTTAAATGCGTTTTGGTAAAAACTAATTACAATGATGGGGTTGAATAAGTGTAGCACTTATTCAAAAGGTTCCAAAAGGGTTCCCCAAAAAACCTTTCACTGACAGCTAGTGCTTAAAATAACCATTTATTTTCTTAGTGTGTAGAACATTTTAATTATATGATGCATGAATATTTTTTTTTCACAATAAAGAACCTTTTGTGGTTCCATGGATGTTAAAGGTTCTTTATGAAAGCATACAACCTATATTTTTAAGAGTGTAGGCTTAATGTTGCTTAAATATTACTTTAAAATGTTGAATCCACATATTTAGAAAGGAAAGTTCACTTAAAAATACACAATTTATTCCCCATTAGTTGAAAATCCTAACAATTGGTCTTTGCATTAGAGTTTATTAGCGAAATTCTTTTCAATTAATCGATTGATCCAGTTCATTTGTTCACATTTAGACTGATCCAATTCTCAAGTTCACTAACTCACAACTATTCCTAATGACTATGACTTTTGGTCTATTTGTCAAAAAAAGGTTATCTTATGACTTCAGAAGACGGAATACAGCACACAAACCATGCATGTGAACTACATGTACTTCTTAGAAAATTGTATGTTATATGATTCCCCCCGGGTTTCAAAGTCGAGGCTTAAGCTAGTCCCGGACTAAAATGCATGTTTGACATATCTTAAAATATGTCCCCAGACAGCAACATAGTGTCGGCCCAGATCCGGGCCACATCTGGTACATGTGGATTCCACGCATACCAGATGTAGGCCGGATCTGGGTTGACACTATGTTGCTGTGTGGGTAAGTGACATTTTTTTTGTCTCAAGATGCACACACCAGTAATGTTTTTTTCTAAGGCACGTTTATAAAAGCTACTTAAATGTCCTAATTGAACTAAGGCCTAATCCTGGCTTAGTCTGAGCCCTGTCTGTGAAACCAGGTCTTTGAGTTCTAGAACAAATAAAGTGAAACAAATTTTAGAACAACGTGAGGGAGAGGGAGAATTAATGATTTGTGAGTGAACTATCCCTTTAAGAAATGACCATTGAAATTGTTTAAATAAAGATATGGCTGTCTATTTAAACAATTTCAATTATATTTCAATTTCAATATATATATTACAGCAATGACTCACATATGAAAAGTATAAGTAGTCCTCCCAGGACTGCGCGTCTGTGTTTGGTGTCTTCGGTCTCTTGGCTCAGTTTGACGCAGGGCATCGCCAACAGCACGAGCGCCAGAGCGGGCAGCCCGAGCAGAGAGGCGGAGACCATCAGAGCGCGAGACGTCTGGATGTAAGCTAAAAATAAAATATCATAATGTGAAAATATCATAAGCGACGCTTTACATTATGATTCAAAAATTCATGCGACATAACTTTTTTAATGCCTCAAATAATATACTGAGAAAACCCTGTAAAAAAACAACAACCTGCATTTAAATGTGACTGACCAATAACAAACCTAAATGTTGAATAGTTTTTATTCCATGAATGAAAAAAAATGGATGCATACAAACAAAATTATTTTTTTGAAAAAACTGTTTCTCACCTGGTATATCGAGGATTTGGTTGAGTGAGATGCAGTGATAGAGAGCAGTAGAGATGACACACTCTGTCCACAAGCCCTTGGTCTCCAGCTCATCCATCTTCCTGCAGGTGTGCATGCCGTACTTACAGGTCACCACCCAGTCGTTTGTTGAGGTTGCTATAATAACACCAGTCCAGCCGATGCAGCTCATTAAAAAACCACAGAGCAGGCGACAGCTATGAGACATGATTTCTGACTGAATGTGAAATGTGTTCCCAAAGAAAATGTTTACTGAAATATGCTCTTCAAGCCAAAAACATACAAAAACATAAAGTTATTTAAATATTCTAAATAAAACGCATTCTGGAGAAGATTATCATACTAACAGTTTGAGTATGGACTGTAAAACAATCCATCTGGCAAATGTACTTTATAGTGGACGTGCCCAGCAGAACTTTCAGCCAATCAGAAGACAGCCACAATGGCCTTCCCTCAAAACCTGGAGAATAACATCCTGCAGAGTTTTTCACTGCGGTCACGCCATCTGTGCTTTAGAAAAGCGCGGTCACGCCATCTACGCTTAAAAATATATTGCTCGTCTACACGAGGTTGCGTGGTAGGCTCAAGGTGTATGCGCTTGGTGTCGGCAGACTTAAATATTCATAATAAAATAAATAAAATCTGGTTGTTTTCTGCAAATTCCACCAGATTATTGTTCTACATCTCACTGACTACCACTGTGGTGATTTTCATGTTGATCTACTGTTTTATTATTTAATAATTGCCTGCCAAAGTCCTATACTGTAGGCTACCTTGTTATACAGCAATATTTAATAAATTCATAAATAATGTAAATCAAATTGTTTTCTGCAAATTCCACCAGAATATTGTTCTACATCTCATTGACTACCACTGTGGTGATTTTCATGTTGATCTACTGTTTTATTTTATTTAATAATTAACTGCCAAAGTCCTATACTGTATGCCTGGCTATATAGGCATATTTGATAAATTCATAAAAAATTTAAATCAAATTGTTTTCTGCAAACTCCACCAGATTATTGTTCTTCATCTCACTGACTACAACTGTGGTGATGTTCATATTGATCTACTGTTTTATTATTTAATAATTAACTGCCAAAATCCTAGACTGTATACCTGGCTATATAGGCATATTTGATAAATTCATAAAAAAATAAAATAAAATTGTTTTCTGCAAATTCCACCAGATTATTGTTTATCATCTCACTGACTACCACTGTGGTGATTTTCATGTTGTTCTACTGTTTTATTATTTAATAATTAACTGCCAAAGTCCTATACTGTATACCTTGTTATACAGCAATATCAGTAAATTCATAAAAAATTTAAATCAAATTGTTTTTTGCAAATTCCACCAGATTATTGTTCTACATCTCACTGTCTACCACTGTGGTGATTTTAATATTGCTCTACTGTTTTATTATTTAAAAATAGCCTGCCAAAGTCCAATACTGTTTAATTTAATTTAAATGTTTTATGAATGTATTAAATATTGCTGTACAACAAGGTATAGAGTATATGACTTTGACAGACAATTATTAAATAATAAAACAGTAGATCAACATGAAAATCACCACAGTGGTAGTCAATGAGTTGAACAATTTGATTTGATTTTGTTTTATGAATTTATCAAATATGCCTATATAGCCAGGTATACAGTATAAGACTTTGGCAGTTAATTATTAAATAATAAAACAGTAGAACAACATGAAAATCACCACAGTGGTAGTCAATGAGATGTAGAACAAAAATCTGGTGGAATTTGCAGAAAACAATTTGATTTGATTTTTTTTATGAATTTATTAAATATTGCTGTATAACAAGGTATACAGTATAGGATTTTGGCAGTTAATTATTAAATAATAAAACAGTAGATCAACATGAAAATTACCACAGAGGTAGTCAATGAGATGTAGAACAATAATCTGGTGGAATTTGCAGAGAACAATTTGATTTGATTTTTTTTATGAATTTATTAAATATTGCTGTATAACAAGGTATACAGTATAGGAATTTGGCAGTTAATTATTAAATAATACAACAGTAGATCAACATGAAAATCACCATAGTGGTAGTCAGTGAGATGTAGAACAATAATCTGGTGGAGTTTGCAGAAAACAATTTGATTTTAAGTTTTTATGAATTTATCAAATATGCCTATATAGCCAGGTATACAGTATAAGACTTTGGCAGGCAATTATTAAAGAATAAAACAGTAGATCAACATGAAAATCACCACAGTGGTAGTCAGTGAGATAAAGAACAAAAATCTGGTGGAATTTGCAGAAAACAATTTGATTTGATTTTTTTTATGAATTTATTAAATATTGCTGTATAACAAGGTATACAGTAGAGGACTTTGACAGACAATTATTAAATAATACAACAGTAGATCAACATGAAAATCACCACAGTGGTAGTCAGTGAGATGTAGAACAATAATCTGGTGGAATTTGCAGAAAACAATTTGATTTGATTTTTTTATGAATTTATCAAATATGCCTATATAGCCAGGTATACAGTATAGGACTTTGGCAGGCAATTATTAAATAATAAAACAGTAGATCAACATTAAAATCACCACAGTGGTAGTCAGTGAGATGTAGAACAATATTCTGGTGAAATTTGCAGAAAACAATTTGATTTACATTATTTATGAATTTATTAAATATTGCTGTATAACAAGGTATACAGTAGAGGACTTTGGCAGTTAATTATTAAATAATAAAACATGGAAATCACCACAGTGGTGGTCAGTGATATGTAGAACAATAATCTGGTGGAATTTGCAGAAAACAATTTGATTTGATTTTTTTATGAATTTATTAAATATTGCTGTATAACAAGGTATACAGTATAGGAATTTGGCAGTTAATTATTAAATAATACAACAGTAGATCAACATGAAAATCACCACAGTGGTGGTCAGTGATATGTAGAACAATAATCTGGTGGAATTTGCAAAAAACAATTTGATTTAAATTTTTTATGAATTTATCAAAAATGCCTATATAGCCAGGTATACAGTATAAGACTTTGGCAGTTAATTATTAAATAATAAAACAGTAGAACAACATGAAAATCACCACAGTGGTAGTCAGTGAGATGAAAAACAAAAATCTGGTGGAATTTGCAGAAAACAATTTGATTTGATTTTTTTATGAATTTATTAAATATGGCTGTATAACAAGGTATACAGTATAGGACTTTGACAGACAATTATTAAATAATAAAACAGTAGATTAACATGAAAATCACCACAGTGGTAGTCAGTGAGATGTAGAACAATAATCTGGTGGAGTTTGCAGAAAACAATTTGATTTTGTTTTTTTTATGAATTTATCAAATATGCCTATATAGCCAGGTATACAGTATAGGACTTTGGCAGGCAATTATTAAATAATAAAACAGTAGAACAACATGAAAATCACCACAGTGGTAGTCAGTGAGATGAAGAACAATAATCTGGTGGAATTTGCAGAAAACAATTTGATTTGATTTTTTTTTTTTTGAATTTATTAAATATTGCTGTATAACAAGGTATACAGTATAGGAATTTGGCAGTTAATTATTAAATAATACAACAGTAGATCAACATGAAAATCACCATAGTGGTAGTCAGTGAGATGTAGAACAATAATCTGGTGGAATTTGCAGAAAACAATCAGATTTTATTTATATCTTTATATTATATATATATTTTATAATTTATTATGAATATTTTTTAAAAAGTCTGCATACACCTTGAGCCTACCACGCAACCTTGTGTAGACGCGCAATATATTTTTAAGGTAGATGGCGTGACCGCAGTAACTTAACCCCACATTCATATTTCATATAGAACAATCATAATATTCTTTATAAAAACAAGTCCTTACTTTTTCAAAACTGGCATGATAACAATATTACGTTAGTACGTGATATTTTTAATGAAGATGGGTGTTTATATAGCCTACATATGGCGAATTCCTGGAAAATTTTAATTTTCCTGTCACGACTAGATAATTTGCCATCGTTTTCGATGGTATTCCCACAGGTCTTATTACATTGGTTTTGATAGGACTTTGTTTACCATACCACCTATTTTTGATCCCACTCAAACAGTGGTGGGCAAGATTTGTCTAGTTCCATACTCTAGCAATAGGTCCATCCGTGCTCTCTTTCAGAAAGATATTGTTACCAAATCTTATGTAATTACCTATTGGAGCAATTTTAGTGAACATTGTGGACTGGAGAAAAGTTTGGTTATTGACAAATAAATACCTTATTTTAAATAAAGTTAGATAAGTCTCATTTAAATTAATTCATAGATCCAGAGGAAAGTTATATAAAAAGTTTAAACCTGACATTGACATAAAATGTGATTTCTGTAATGCACAAGATGAAATTACTGTAGGCCTACACTTGTTTTGGGACTGTAACTATACCAAACATTGTTTCAGAGAAGACCAAAGCAAAGTAAAACATTGTCTTCTTGTGCTCTCTTTAAAATCCCCCTTTAAATTTTGTCGCATTTTCTTGTCCTAACATTTGCTTATCTTTTCTTGTATTATTATTGTACGTTTGGTCTTTTTTTTCTTCTCTCCTCTGGTGGTTGTTCCGGTTCTAGTTTTACATGTTGATACTATTTGTTGTCTATTGTATATTTATATCTAAGAAAAAAAAAAAAAAGAATAACATCCTTTGATTTATTATAGCATTAATATGTTTCTGCTCATAATTTCTTTATCAGTGTTATAATTATTCGGCCTAATATTCGAACTATTTTACAAATTACTACAGAACTTTGTGTTAACCATGACGCTTTCTGATCAATTTACCATTTTGGGTGTGAATGCCATCTAGTGGGTTAGATGGTAAGCTGTCCAAAACAAATTTTTGACATCATGAACATATATGGGCGGTGGGCGCTTTGACTATTACCAAGCTCAATAAAACTGCCCTTACTAAATCAGAGAAAACATACAGCATGAAGATATTTGATCTACAATAATTGTTGTTAATGTTATTTTTTCGTTTCTTTTCATCAAGCATTTAATAATTTTTTTTTTTTTTTAATCTACAATATCATCTACACACATCATGTATATACAAGTTTGGGGTCAGTAAGATGTTTTAAATTAAAAAAAATTTTTTAGATGTAATTTGCTCCTGTAATGACAAAGCTGAATTTTCAGTCGTCATTACTCTCTTTAGTCTTCAGTGTCACATGATCCTTCAGAAAAAAGAAAAAAATCTATTTCAAATCAATTTTGTTCTTACCTTTTTTTTTCTATTCATCAAAAAAAAGTATCAATTTCCACAAAAATATTAAGCAGCACAACTGTTTTCAACATGTTTCTTGACCAAATCATCATCTTATTTTTTAACAATGTAGAAGTCTTTACTGTAATTTGTAATCAATTTAAT